AAAAAAACTATAAATAATTATCTAGACTGTTTAAAAAAAAAATTAAATAATTGAGATTTGTTAATTTAAATATTTTTTTTTCTTAAATAATGACAATTTTTTTATAATAACTTAATTAATAATGTTGAAAAGACAAATAATAATTTTTATAATTTTTTTTTAAATAAACAAATCATTGCAAAAAAAATTTTTTTTTAAATTTTATAATCAAAAGTTCTAAAAAACTATAAATAATTATCTAGACTGTTTAAAAAAAAAATTAAATAATTGAGATTTGTTAATTTAAATATTTTTTTTTCTTAAATAATGACAATTTTTTTATAATAACTTAATTAATAATGTTGAAAAGACAAATAATAATTTTTATAATTTTTTTTTAAATAAACAAATCATTGCAAAAAAAATTTTTTTTTAAATTTTATAATCAAAAGTTCTAAAAAACTATAAATAATTATCTAGACTGTTTAAAAAAAAAATTAAATAATTGAGATTTGTTAATTTAAATATTTTTTTTTCTTAAATAATGACAATTTTTTTATAATAACTTAATTAATAATGTTGAAAAGACAAATAATAATTTTTATAATTTTTTTTTAAATAAACAAATCATTGCAAAAAAAATTTTTTTTTAAATTTTATAATCAAAAGTTCTAAAAAACTATAAATAATTATCTAGACTGTTTAAAAAAAAAATTAAATAATTGAGATTTGTTAATTTAAATATTTTTTTTTCTTAAATAATGACAATTTTTTTATAATATGTAATCAGTAGTGATTTAATTATTTTAAAATGATCAGGTGTATATTAATTTAAATGTGAATTTTTCTATTTTTTTTTATAAAAATTTTTAAAGTTTTGTAGTAGTTTTTTTTTATTCAAAATAAAATATTAAATAAAAAAAGTGTCATGAAATTATGAATAAATTTCGATGACATTGAAATTAGCAGATACTTATAAATTTTCTGATTTTTCTTTAAAAATAATCTAGAAAATTATGTTAAAAAAAAATTGCAATTATCATTTTTCAGAGCTTTTAAAGATTAAATATTTTGAATAATTTTTTTATTCTTAAATTTACTTAAAAATGATCAGATGTCTTTTTATTTCATTTATTTTTTGGAGTTTTTTTTTTTATCTGAATTTATTTAAATTTTATTTGATTTTATTTTTATTTGAATTTTATTTAAAAATTCTTGTCAATTTTTTTTGATAATATAATGTTAATAATCATTTTTTAAGACATGAGAGTTAGCAGTCACTTTACAATTTTTTAAATTTTGTTTAACAAAAAATTTATTTAAAAAAAATTGCATTTATAATTTTTTATAATTTCTACATGTCAATTTTTATGCCATAATTTATTTGTTATAAAATTCTTAAAATTATTGAATATATATGCTAAATTAATTTTAAAACAGCCAGATGTTTATTAATTTAAATGTCATAATTTTTCATGAAAATTAATTTAGCAGATATTTTATAATTTTAAAAATTTCTTTAATAAATAAATTATGTCTAAAAAAAATGAGAAAAAAAAATTGACATTTAGAAAATCAAAAAACAAAAAAATGCAATTTTTTAGAAATAGTTTTTTGGAGCAAATTTATTTATTAAAAAAAAAATTAAAAAATGGTCAAACGACTGCTAACTTTAATATCATCAATTTTTCTGATTTCTCATAAAAATTGTTGACATTATTTTTTAAATTATCATCATAGATTTTTTTTATAAAACAAGAAAAAAAAAAAAGTGTCACAGCATTAATTACAATTAAAAATTTTAGAATTTTAATTAGCAATTAATTTTAAACAAATCGATTACTGTATAAAATATTAATAAATAATAAAAACAATACTTATAATTGATTTTTAGGTTAACTTACTTGTTCAGGTTTCTTTTTAATCCTGACAAGTTCATCACGTCGTGGAATAGTTCCTCCATCACACCCCATGTTTGCACTTAGTAATTATTTAAATTAATTAAAAAAAAATAAATTTAACTCCCAAGTGTTAAATAAAAAAAAACAAAACTTTTCTTTATTATATTTATCACCAAACTAATATAAATCTCACAAAATTACTGCGACTGACTCCGGACTGACATTTGCTTTCTTTATATAGAAAAAACACAAAAACATTAATTTGCGCATGCGCGCAATTTTTCATCCGCTTACTAGCGCCACAGCGGCGCAAAACTACACTAACGCCCTCTCTAAACATTGAAGCTCCAAATTCCCGCCAGAAGTTAGTAAAGTTGACAGTGCAGCGTGTTAGCCGTGAGTAAAAACAAATAAATATTTTTTTTTAAACAAATCTAACAAATCTTCTTCCTAAAAAAATTCACTAATAAAAAAATTTATTTTTTTCAGATTAAAATTCAGACTTTCACCAAAAAAAACTCACAGAAAAATTAAAAATAATTAAGAATGTAACCACATAACCTAACTTTGATCACCAGTGCCTTAGTTTAATTTAAATAAAATATAAAAAATAACTAATTTAAAAATAACTAATTAAAAAATTACTAACTAAAAAATAACTTTTTAAAAATTAACTAATTAAAAAATAACTAACTTAAAAAAAATGGCAGCAAATAAAAAAAAGCCCCGAAAAGGAGCAAATGGCTACAAGCTCCCAGAAGCGCTTCCAGAAGGAGAAATTCTCCAGGACCTAAGCAAGCACCAGTGGATCCTAGGAAAGTCAATCGGAACTGGCGGATTCGGAGAAATTTATTCCGCTGCATCATCCAGCAAGCCAAAGAACCTATCAGCGGTGATAAAAATCGAGCCTCATGGAAACGGACCGCTGTTTGTAGAGATGCACTTTTATATGCGTAACGCCAAGCCAGATGACATAGAATCCTGGCGCAGGAGCAAGAAGCTGGCTCATTTAGGCATGCCAAAATTCCTGGGGTCTGGGTCTCATGAATATAAGGGCCAGCGGTACCGATTTTTGGTGATGGAGCGCTACGGGAAGGATTTATGGAAGCTCTTCCTAGAGAATGGACGTAAATTTTCCCAGCAAGTGGTTATAAATTACTCTTTGCAGGTGATTGATGCTCTGGAGTATATTCATAATAGGACTTACGTCCACGCTGATATCAAGGGAGCTAACTTGCTGATGGATTTAAAGGATGAGGACAAAATTTATTTAGTGGACTTTGGGCTGGCTTCTCATTATACTTGTAAAGATTTTAAGGCAGACCCTAAGAAGGCTCACAATGGAACTATTGAGTACACTAGTAGGGACGCGCACTCTGGAGTCCCGACTATGAGAGGAGATCTGGAGATCTTGCTGTATAATGTTATTCAGTGGATCACTGGAAGTCTTCCTTGGGAGGGAATTCTTAAAGATTGCGTTGCTGTTCAGAGAGCTAAGGAAAAAGCTTTTCAGGATGTTGAAAAATTCTTGGAGGGTCTGGAGGGGCGGGAGGGGCTTCCTAAGTTTGTAGGAGAGTTCATGAAGCTAGTGAGTAAATTAGAGTTTAATGAAGCTCCGGATTATGATGAGTGTAGAGAGATTTTTGAGGAGGGCAAGAAGGAGAAGAAGGAGAAGGGGAGGAAGATCAAGACAAGGGTTGAGGAAGTTAAGGAAGATAGCAGGAGGGTCAGGGAGAGAACTCCCAAGAGGACTCCTGAGCCAGCAAGGAAGAAGAGGGAAGGGACTCCTGAGCCAGCGAGGAAGAAGAGGGAAGGAACTCCGAAGTTGGAGAAGTTGGAGATTCCTAGGAGGAAGAGTCCGAGGGTTAAACCGCAGGTCTCGTTGGATGAGAGCACTGTCGGGGTGGTTGTGGATTGCAAGAGGGAGAAGCTTAGGGATGTTAAGGCGATTGTCGAGGCTATGGATAGTGATTCTGAGACGGAGTATGATGTTAAGATTGTTAAGAAGAAGAAGGTGGAGAAGAAGACTACTAGGAGGGCTAGGAAGAAGAGTGAGGATGAGGAAGAGGTTCGTTAATTTTTATAATACTAAAATTGATGGAAATTAAATTAGCTATTTAAAATTTTTAGAATTTTTGTTGGAAAAGTTAGTACAAAAAAATAAGAAATTTGCAGTTGTAAAAAAGTTGAAAAACTTAGAGTGCAATTTTTAAAAAGTATACTTTTTTTTTATTTAATGAATGAAAAAAAAAAAAATTAGAAATGTCGGCTTACTTTAGAATTATAAATTAGCCGGTTTTTAATTTTTTTTCTTTTTTTTTTATTTAATTAGAATTAAGAGATATTTTTAAAAAAATTTTACTTACCTATAGTTTTTCAAGTTTTTTAAAAATGAAAAATTAAAAAAAATTATTTTGTAATAATTTTTTCCATAAAAAAAATTCTAAGAATTTTTAGATGTCGGCTAACTTAAGTTTTTTTTTTTTTTTTTTTTTTTTTTTTTTTTTTTCAATTAAAGTGGACATTTGATATTGCAAACTTTTGACTAATTTAATTAGAATTTTAAAACAGAGTTTTTTTAATATACTGTGTGAAATTTTTATCTTGATTTTTTTTGGAGTAATTTTTTCAGTACACAGAAAAAAAAAATTTACTTTAATCATGTAAATAATTATGAAGAACTTGATCTTCTTAATTTGAGTAGAAAATTCTTAAATTAATAAAATTTTTTTGGTTTCAGTAAATTTTACTTCATTCAAGAATTGTCGTTTTAATTCAAGTTAATTTTTTTTTTCTGTGTAAAAAAATACAAAATTGTAAGATGTCTGGTAATGAGTTAAGATTAAAATTTTTTTTTTATTTTAGATTATTCTTTTATAGATTTATGAATTTTTTGATCAATTTTTTATTTAGTAGAGAATTTAAAAATAATGGAATTTTGATTTGAATAGTCAGTCAATTAGTTTTTTTAATACACTATTTGCAATCTTGATAATAGATTATCAAAAAAATTAGTTATATTTTGTTGGTGTTATAATTATAATGAAAAAAAAATTCTATTGATCTATTCAAAATCTATTATTAAAGAAGAATTTTATAAATTTGTTGAAATTATTATTATTATTAATTTATGGAAATATGATAATTTTATAATCTATATTATTAAGAGGATAAGAAAAATTTCGTCTCCAGGATAGTCATATGATAAAATCGGTTTATTTTTTTTAGTGTAATTGTAAAGGTTTTGACTTGAATTCATGCGTTTTCAGGATTTCATATCATTCTCACCGATAGTCAATTTATTACGATAAATATTTAGGCTGCATTCGACAATGCTCTATTTCTAGATACATAATTAAGAAATGACCTTGTATCTTGAGAAATATTCACATTTTTAAAGATATAAGCTCACTCCGACATTACATTTATCGAGACCTTTCATTTGAGTACCCACATCAATTTTTCATATATTTATATATATTACATATATGTATATATGAAAAATATATGAAAATGCATGTGGGTACTCAGATGAAAGCTCTTGATGAGTGTAACATCGGGATGAGCTTATATTTTTAAAAACGTCAATATTTAAGAAAGTACAGTGTAATTTAACAAAAGTCATTATTTTATACAAAATTTTATTTATTTATAGTTCATAAGCCACAACAGTCGCGTAGTAACTGCAAAGTTGCTAGTAATAATAATGATAAATTTCAACTATCTTATCAACAATAGAATTCCAAAAAAATAACGCTTCTTTGACAATAAATTTTTAATTAAAAAATACATTTTTTATCAATAATAGAAATTTAATAGATCATTAGATAAATAGATCAAAGAAATTTCCTATTTATAGAATTATTTATAAACAATATAATTCTAATAAATCAATTATATTACAACTTACTATTAAAAATTAAATTTCAATGAATCAATAAAAAATTTAATATTAGTAATAGAATTTTAATGTATCAATGAAACTTACATTTTAAAAAAATATTTACAAAAATTAAATTACTATCAAATAGGGTAAATGCACCAGTTGTTGACCGGTCACCAATTAGTTGACCGATGTATAAAAAAGTTAATTAATTAATATTTTACACGGGTTATTTTTTCTTAAAGGATTAAAATAAAAAAATATGGCATTTAATCATCATAATAAAAAATTACGCAATTAATTGCGCAGTGATTATAGCTTTAAAAAAATATTCTGAGTTTGTTTACAACGCAACCAGCCATAAAGCGGTCAAAAATAATTAGCGTACAATTGGAGAGCGAGTGCATTTCATCATTAATTTAGTGATATTTATCGGCATAATATAAAATATTTTAGTTTTATTATGTTAATTAAAGATCAGATTCCAACTTTTTTGAAAAAATAAAGTTAAATTATAAGTTTTAATATTATTTTAAGACCGGTCAACTATTGGATCCGTCAGAAGCCCTTTGCCCAGTAAAAAATTCATTCGGTCATTTATTAGTCTCTCTGATTTTATCACAATCCAATTAATGACCGTATATTTATAATACTAACTTCTTAACTTCAAAATTAAATCTGTCAAGTGTTTAAAGTACTTTAGTCATTAAATATTTTGTAAATATAAAAATAATCATTATAAAATGTATATTTATAATTAAAATAATACTTAAAATCTTTTTTGATTATTAAATTTTATTTTGTTGTAATTTTTTTAGTGAACGGTTATATCAAAGAACGAATTATTAGAAGAAAAAATTGCTAAGCAATTAAAAAAATAAAAAAGAGCTACAAGCTAGTAAAAAAGCTTTGATTGAAAAAAAGAAGGAGAAGAATAAAAAAATTTCAAGTGAATCAGGAAGAACTATCGTCATCAAAATGAATTTGTGAATATTTGTGACCTAAAGAAATGTGACTTTACGTTAATTATTGCTATTATTTATATTATTTTATAAAAAAAAGTACGATTTAAAATTATATTATATGTTTAGTTTTGTTAAATGGAGAACGGTCGGTTATTTATTGGGTTTCTTCGGTCAATAATTGGTGATTTTAGTATTTCAAGATTCAAATAACAAAATTAATATAATTTTGTTAATTTTTATTATAAATAGTTATTAATTATTATTAATTAAGTATTTAACTTTAATAAAATCCATTACAAATTGTTTTTAGTAGGTTAATAGATTTTTTATAGCTTAGTACAGAAAAAGAAAACCTTAATCGGTCAATAATTGGTGCATTTACCCTACCTCTAATTAATTCAAAATTAATTATCTCAATCAAAATATCAAACCTAACTCAAAAAAATAAAATATATTTCAGATAATGCCTAGAGGTACAAAATCCCGCCAAGCAAAAGTATCCAAAGTGACCCGCCAGGCCGCGGTGGACTCCGATGAAGATATGTTTGATTAACTTAGTTTGTTATTTTCTATTCTTATAAATAAAACTTTTCATTTTCTAACTCATAAATTTATTCAATAACCCTATAAACAACTTTGCATTAAAAAATCTCACTTTTTACCCCTGAGAGCTTGGGGCGCACTAATCTTAACCTTTCCTGGAATATTCCTAGCCACAACTTCGTCCTTGACTGCTTTAAGCAGATCTTTTTCCCTCGGAGTCGCAGCTTTGTCTTTTAAAAACATAGCAACGGCCGTCTTAGCCGCTTTTCCTCTTTTCCCGGTCCCGGGCATCAACTTAATCTTGTACTTATAATTAACCACCGTAGAATAAGGCGCGATAACAGGAACTGCAAACAAGAGTTCATCTTCATCAACAGGCTTGCCGGTAAACTGATCCAACATGTCTAACTCAGGCGCTGGACCGACTTCTTCATCATCTTCCTCGCCTTCAGGAGCCTGTTTTACCATCATAGGCTTTCCGCCTTTTTTCTTCTGCTGGTTCTTGTCCAAGTGAACATTCTTCTTCTTCTTCATCCTCCTTTCTTCCCTCGCCGGATTAGGCTTTGTCATCTCCATGATAATCCTCCGGTCTTCTTCATCCTGATCCTTGTACTTCTCCTTTATCTTCTTCAGCTTTGCCTTCTGGCCTCGCTTCGGCTTCCCAGAATCTTTCGGTTCAACTTTTGCGGAATCTTTAGCATCCTCTTTGGGAGTCTCTGGAGCCTTTGGTTTGCTTTTCTGTGAGTGTTTAACTACAACTGGCTTGTCATCTCCCAGGTACACTATTTCTTCTTCTGGCTCCAATGGTCTTTTATTATCAATTAGTAATTTAACTTTAGACCCAGTTAAATCTAATTTTATCTGAGTGTCTGGAAAAAGTGACTCTTGATCAGAATCAGAATCATTTTCTTCAATTGCTGGTAATTTTTCAACGGTTTCTTCTTTATCCGCATCATTTTCATTACCTTCGGCGTCAAAATCTTCTTTACCTACAAAAAAACATCAATTAGATTAAAAAAATAGAACATAACCGTTTCAGATAGTTAAATAAATTGGTGCCAACATATCAGTTACACAGAAAGAACAAGATTTCACTGGATAACATTCCAGATTATACTTAGTGACATCTGTAATGAAAAAAAATTCAGATAGTAGCTAATATAATCCAGATTATACTGAGTGATATCTGGATTATGTTTGTATAATACTTTCTAGACGATAGAAAGAAAATGGCGCAGATATTACTGGGTATAATCCAAGATTTTACTGAGTATAATCTGGAAGTTATCCAGTGTATCTTGTCATTTTCGTGTTGAAAAAAAATTGTTACCGAGAGTATACTTATTGAAATCTTCCATTTCCCCTAGTAAAATATCAGATGATACCCCGTAAGATTCCACTGGATTATACCCAGTGATATCTGCGTCATTTCGTTTCTAGCGCCTAGAAAGTATAGTAAGAGTATAATGTAGATATCACTCAATATAATCTGGATTATACTAGCTATCTGAAATTTTTTTACACTACAGATCACACTGAGTATAATCTGGAATGTTATTCAGTATAATCTTGTTCTTTCCGTGTTGACAAAAAATTGTTACCAACAGTTAATTCAAAAATTTTCGGTAAGTTGGCAGCAACTGATCTGACCAATTATTAATAAAAAATTCTAGCTACCAGATATACACTATCGACAGAAAATTTCCGGACAAAATTTATTAAAATGATTATTAAAAGTAAAATAAATCAAGAAGAAAGTCAATGACACGATCGTACACACTTTGTAAAATAAAATAACATTTTCTTTATAGATCAAGTTAATTTGTTTATGTATCATAATTAAATTAAAAAGTAAACTAGAAAGTTATCCGGAAATTTTCCGTCGGTACTGTATATCTGATCAAATTAAAAAAAAATAACCTCAAAAGTTCTTTCTTACCTTCAGAGTCATTACCATCCGAGTCGTTCCCGGAATCAATATCAATTTCAACATCATCCCCTTGATCTCCAAAGACACTTTCATCATCCTCAATCCCCCTAAACTTCCTCTCTCCCTTGTGCCGCTCAATACTTCCATCCTCAAGCCTGAACAAGAACGCCAGTCCCATAACCAATTGACAAGGCGGCAAGTAATTCTTCTTCCCCCTGATCATAAACGACCCGGTAGTCAAATACTCTCCAGTCGGCGCAGTCTTGGACACCTGATCATGATGAACCCACCAAGCTCCAGCAACGACCTTAGCATCCCAAGCGACACTGTACACCACCGCCATGGTTCCCGCTTCAGCCAAGCTCTTCGGCGGCACCGGATTCCCACTAGGATTCTTCACTACAATAGAACTCGCTCCCGTAAGATCAGCATGGACATAAACATCTCCAGCCCTGAGATACTTCTTAACAATCAGTTCATTCTGCTGCATGTCCCTTCCTCCAATCACCAGGTAATTCTCACTAGTAATAAACCAGTAGAACTTTTCAAACCAGTACACCTTCCTGACCTTGTTGATACTATGAATTGCCTGAACCTCTTTCAAAGTCTGCTTGGTCTTCCTCTCAGCGGACTTCAGCGCCTTTCCCTGAGCGTCAATCGTCTTCTGGTGCTTCTTCGCAGCTGACCTCTTCTGGTCAAAGTACTTCAGCGCGTTTCCATAAGCAGTCTGTGCTAGATCAATGTCTACAAGCATCGGCTTGATGTTCCTCTCCACATCTCCTTCATTCTCATTACTAGAGTCTTCACTGTCATAAGGATTGGTCAGGTAGACAGAGATATGATTGGTCTCCAGCTTCAGAGCTTTAATAGCTAGCGCAACCGGGTCACCCCTGACCTGGGCTTCAGTGATCAGCACCTGGATGTCTGGCCAGGGCATCTGATTTGCCAAAGCACTCTGGATCGCGAGTATAGCATTGTCCACCAGCTCCTGGTTCAAGATTATCATCTCTGCTTTCTGCTTGTCGGTTTCTTGATGAGCTTCTAAACCAGCCAGCCGCTGATTGTGGTCTTTCCTGACGTTCTCCAGCTTCTTCAGCGCCTCACGTTCCTGTGCAAGAGCTTTCAAGTCCAGCTTCTGGCCCTCCATTGTCGAGTAGTATTCATCAACAGCCAGGTCAAAGGTATCGAACTCTTTGAATGGTTGTTCTTTAAACTGCTCCAGCAGCCGGGGGTGAAAATCAATATTGGCCAAAATGAATTCCTCGCTATCAACAGCTTTGGTCTCCTTTTTTTGGACTATGTAGCCTTTTGATGGACTTGTCTTTGCTTGCTCCATCAAATTGCTAGCTTGGTTCAAGGCTACCATCAGCCGGTCAAAATCCTTGTCCAGAAAAAAACTCTTGCCCACTTTGCACCCAGGTACAAATCCGTTTAATAAAAGCACGTGGTCTATCAAAGCGGACCCGAACTCGCAAAGAGGGTTTAAAATTTTTTTTAAGGGGTCTCCAGTTTTGCCGGAGGATAGTTTCTCATGAATAAGTTCAGGAGGTGACATTGTGGTTAAGTGAGCGCGATCTGTAGGGTACTTTTCCCGGATTGCCAGCCGGATTTTGTCCCCCTCTGTGTGGGGTCGAAGGATATTTAAGATGGTGTACTCATGGTCGGTAAGGACGATGTTTCCTCGGTCGTAGACCTCCAGGATCACGTGGTAAGCGGCTTGGTTGCTGCCAAATTGAAGATCTACCATTCGGTCGCATCCGATCTGGGTCAAAGATTCAAGGCGCTTGTTTTTTAAGTGCTTGCGCATTTTCATACTAAAGCCAGATGGCGCGACGTTCTTAGGCCACTCGAAGGCGGTAGTGTGAATCCGGTTCCCGGATTCGAGAAGTAAAACTTTCTTTTCTTCACTACGTTGTAAACGGATTAGGTATGTTCGGTGGTCTATGTCGTAGATCTGGTTCACTCGCATGCCCACTAATCTGAAAATTAGTTTTTTATTAATATACAGAAAGAAGAATAGAATAGAATATCGTTTTCATTTGTATCACATATTGCGTTTTACAAAACTGTATCTTAAATTGTTTATTTACATTTGCATATACACTATTTTTTCAATTTTTTTGTGAACTTCCTTTTCCGTCTAATTAAAGTTTATACTGAGTTTTAGAGAGATAATGATACCGGAAATAATTTTTCACAAATTTTTTATAATGACTAGGCAATAGGGGGTGAGAGGGTGGCTTCCGGTAGAGTTATTTACTTCATTAATGTACAGCAGTCCCATAGAAGCATTCCTAAATATTATTTAAGAATTTTCAATAATAATTTTTTTTGTTTTATTTTTTCGTTGTATACAACGTTTTGAACTTCAGGTGCACCTATTTTTGGCTTAAAAATCAACTGCTTTTACTCTCTTTTAACCTTTCACCCACCTCATCCTTCATATCACAGTCACATTACAATACTATTAATACTATTTTATACTTATTTCTAGTATCCATCCCTGTATATTAATGACAGCCTTTTTCTGACATTCAATATTGTAATACTAATCAACTTCCTTAAGTAATTTTTGCATTTCTCTAACATATATACACAACTCCCTATTTATTTCCCCTTTTAAAATTATCACTAATGTTTCTCTTGTTAATTCCCCCTCTAGTTCTTCCATCCACTTGTATCTTGCTTGTTGCCCTTTTTCACTTATTTTTTCCATTATCTCTGAACAGCTTAATAAATGCATCAGTGTCTCCTCTTCTTTCTTGCATATTCTGCATTCCCAATTCTTTTGCCCTTTTTTTCCGCTTCTCCACAGATTTCCACATCTCGTTCTTGCCCATACCTCTTTGTACTCACTATTAATTCTATCTTTTTTCCAATAGCTGATTTCACTTTCTTGTAATATATCTTTGTAAAACTCGTTATATCTGGACTTTTCTATTAGCAACTTTTCCTTTTTTTCTAGTTCTTTTTTATACAAAAAGAAGAATTTTTTCTTAATTCAAATTATCATAAATACTTGATGGAGCATTCCATGCGAAATGGGAAAATGACTAAAATTTTAAAATTTCTCTAATTCATTTTAATTTAGTCCTAATTTATTTATTATTAAAAGTCTATATTTTAGTAATTTGTAAAGAAAATTTTTTTAATCAATAAGAAAATTGATTTTTTTCTCCTAGTAACTTTTCAGCCGTACTAACTTGTATCCGGGTCAATTGTTATTTTAATAGTTTTAACAACAAATTCATTTTATGTTTGTTATTAACTAACTTATTTATTATTATAGTTTTAAGAACAAATTTTGTTTATGTTCGTTATTAATTAACACCTAAGTTTATCAAGATTGTGTTGTCAGCATGCTAAATCCTTTATTTGTGTTTTTTAATTATCCTAAATAATTTATAGTTAAATATATAAACAATAATGTTTCTAAGGTTGAAATAATATAAAAGTCTTTTTAATAAACAACTTCATGTAGACATTTTGTACTTGTACGTAGGTAATCAGTCTAATTCTTTATAATATTGAATGTTTGTAGGATAAATTTTTTATTGAGAGAAAATAATATTTTTTTGGCTCAAGTGGACATTTTTTCTGTGTATACGACTTTTCTAAAAATATATAATGAAAATTAAGTTAGCCAACATTTAAAAATTTTTAGAATTTTTTTTTTTTTTAATGAAAAAATGAGTACAAAAGAATAAAAAAAAATTTCACTTGTAATGAACTTTAAAAACTGTAAGTGCAATTTTTAAAAAACATTTTTTTGTTTCAATTTAATTATTAAAAAAAAACCAAAAAATTAAAAATGTCAGCTAAGTTTAGTATTATAGATATATAACTTTTCAGATCATATTATAGTGACTACATCTTGGAATATATTAATTTTACAATGATTTTTTAATAATTATATAAAAGTTTTCTAACCAATAATTTCAATAAATTATTGAAATTTCTAAATTAAAAAATTTGACATCTCATTTAAAAATATTTTAAGCAATTTCTAATTTTTTTATCCTATTTTTAATAATATAATAATAATAATTAATTGTTATCAATTAATTTATTATGTCATATAAATATGATGATTATTTTTTTTTAATTGAACTAAACATCAATCTAGTTCTCAACAATTTACGCATTTAATCAGTACACCTGTTACTTAAAAAACAATTTTTACTGCAATAAAAATGAAATATTAAAAAAATAATAAATTATTAATAACTTACTTTTGTAATTCTGCGATCGAACATACTAAATCGTACGTATCAAACCTGGTCTTCATTTTTACTTATATTGCAAAATTTTCCACTTATTCAAAAAATATTTCAAATTAAAATTAAATATTTTTTTTTTTATAATTATTTATTTTTATAATATATTGTTTAATATCTAAATATTATCACGTATTTTTATTATTTTATTGTGACAAACGCATATGTATTCACAACAATGATACAGGTTATGTTGGGTTATGTTTTTTTTTCTAACTATCGCTAGGAGTGTTTTTTAAGCGTCGATTATTTGTTTTTATGAATCGACTACTGGCTGTGTTCGTTGGCGTTTTTTTGGCGCATGCGCCGTAAAATTTGATACTGCGCATGTCAAAATTTAATTTTAAAAAATTAAAAAATAATAAAAGCTATAAACATTAATAGGGTAAATGCACCAATTATTGACCGATTAAGATTTTCTTTTTCTGTACTAAGCTATAAAAAATCTATTAACCTACTAAAAACAATTTGTAATGGATTTTATTAAAGTTAAATACTTAATTAATAATAATTAATAACTATTTATAATAAAAATTAACAAA